CTGCACTCCAGCATGGGCAACAGAGACTCCATCTCAAAAAAAGAGAGAAAGTAAAACTATGTTTAAGAATGACAGATATCTGTCAGATGTCAGAGCATAAAAGGATATGTTTAGAGAATGGTGAATACATGCTCTTTACATAAACAGGTGAAAAATAACTGACAGAAAATACCACAAAAGCTGAAATCACAATATAGTACAGCCATATTAATAGCAAACAAAACAGTCTTCATGGAATTAAGTTTAACCAGAAATTTAAAAAATGGAATTTCAACAATAAAGGGAACAATTATAAGAAGAACATAACATTTCTAAATATGCATGCACTTGATAATATGACCTCAAAATACACAAGTGCAAAAGTTGCCAAAACTAGATAAATTTGTAAACAAAACTAGAGATTTTTTTAATGTGTCTTTCTAGACAAGTGAGACCTCATCAGACTGACATGCTTCTGGAAAGTCAAGGAAACTATCAAGAGAGCAGGGAGACTGCACACAGACTGGGAAAAAATATTTCCCAACTGTATGTCTGACAAAGGCCTGACATCGAGGATCTACAAGGAACTCAAACATGATGAAAAGAAAAAAACAAACAGCTCCATTACAAAGTGGGCAAAAGATATGAACAGACAATTCTCAGAAGACATACGAGCCAACGGATACATGAAAAAATGCTCAACCTCACTAGTCATCAAAGAAATGCAAATTAAAACTATACTGAGATACCACCTAACTCCAGTAAGTATGGCTATCGTAAATATCTCAAAAAACAACAGATGCTAGCAAGGATGCAACGAAAAGGGAACACTTTTACACTGTTGGTGGGAGTGTAAACTAGTACAGCCTCTGTGGAAAACAGTGTGGCGATTACTAAAATATCTAAAAATCGACCTTCCATATGACCCCGCAATCTCCTGACTGGGAATATACCCAGAAGGACTCAAATCACTCTATAAAAAAGATACCCGCACATGTATGTTTATCTCAGCATCATTCACAGTAGCAAGAACATGGAACCAACCATGCTGCCCATCAAAAGAGGACTGGATAAAAAAAATGTGATACATATACACGATAAAATATTATGCAGCCATAAAGAAGAACAAAATCATGAACTTCACAGCAACCTGAATAGACTTAGAGTCTATAATACTGAGTGATCTTTCACAGAAACAAAGAACTGATTATACGTTTTCACTCTCACTCATAGGCAGGCCTAAACAATTATCGTAATACTGTAAAAAAAAAAAAAGCACTGGCAGTAGCGGGAAACTGCCAGGAGGCAGGCAGAGAAGCAGGATTGGCAGTAGTGGAAGTCTGCCTGGGGAAGGGGGTGCACACCTCATCAACGAGGGTACCTGCATAATGAGCACTTGTATACCTAACCCTGAATTGTACCCCACATCTTTAAAATAAAAAAATTAAAAGTTAAAAAATAAAATGTGTCTTTCAATAATTAGTCAAAAATAAACAAAAAGCTTAGTAAATATGCTGGAGAATTTAACAGCACTAATAACCAAGTTAACTTTAATTGACACTTACAAGACATTGCACTACATAATGACAAAATAATGCATTATTTTCAGGTTTATATGGAATATTTATCAAGATGAACAACATGCTTACATATAAATTCAGTCTCAAGAAATTCAACAGTATTGAAATGTGTAGAGTATTTTATCTGACAAAAAAAAAACCTCAATCAAATTAGAAAATGCCAAGCCAATAACTAGAAACATCACCTAAATATATGGAAATTAATCAACATATTTCAAAATAAGTCACAAGTCAAAGAAAAAATTCTTTTAAAAAATTAGAAAATATTTTAACTGAAAAATAAAGCATAATATATCAAAATGTATGAGAGACAACTAAAACACCACTTGAAGGGAAATTAATTCCTTAAAATGTATACATTGGAACTGAAGACAGTAGAAAAAGGAAAGCAAACTAAACCTAAAGAAGATTTTATTTAAAAAAGGTATAAGGAAGGAATTGATAAAAAATAAAAGCAGCCCAGGCTCAGTGGCACAGCCTATAATCCCAGCACTTTGGGAGGCCGAGGCGAATGGATTGCCTAGCGAGCCCATTTGTTTGAGACCAGCCCTGGCAACTTGGCAAGATCTCGTTTCTATAACAAATCAAAAATTAGTCAGGTGTGGTAGCGGGTGCCTATAGTTCCAGAAGGCTAAGGCAGAAGGATCACCAGAGCCCAGCAGGTCGATGCTGGGGTGGCCATGAGCGGACCATGAGCGGACCACTGCACTCCAGCCTGGGCGATGGAGTAAGACTCAACTCAAAATAAAAAAAATAAAAGAAGACAACAATGAAACAGAAAACTAGCAAATAAAAAAACCAACAAAGCTAAAGATGTTTCTTTGGAAAGATTAATAAAGTTGATAAATTCCTAAGAAAGATAAGAAGAGAGAAATAGAAATTATCAATAAGAAAATAAAAGTGGAACTCATTACAAATCCTATAGACACTGAAAAGATATTATGAATAACTATATCAACTAATTCAACAACTATATTTACATATATAATTTAATTTTAGCATATTAACTAATAATTAAGTAAGACTAACCATTTCCACTTTACAGATAAGAATGCTGAGCTAAAATGATGTAGGTCTATTGCCCAAGGACACACAGCTGCTTAATATACGAGACTGTCTTTAAATTCCAGTCTCTCCCATTATAAAATCTATGTACTATCCATAGTCCCTTCCAGCCTCTGTTATCATGAGACTTTACCCACTGGTGAATTTTATGACTATAGAGAGGCCACAGAACTGAAAAACAAACTTTAACTTTAAAATACCTGAAAATTACAGATTTTCATTTGTTATATATGTTAACTAACACTAATTTGAGTGTTGTTGATAGAATCTCCCAGGAAAACTACATTGATAAAAATAATAAGCCGGGCACGGTGGCTCATGCCTGTAATCCCAATACTTTGGGAGGCTAAGGTGGAAGAATTGCTTGAACCTGGAAGTTCAAGACCAGCCTAGGCAACATAGTGAGACCTCATCTCTACAAAAATGAAAAAATAAAATTAGCTGGGTATGGTGCCGTGCGCCTGTAGTCCCAACAACTCAGTAGGTTGAGGAGGAAGGGTCTCCTGAGCCCAGTAGGGCAAGACTACAGTAAGTTGTGATCATGCCCCTGCACTCCAGTCTGGGTGACAGAGACTTCAACTCAAAACATAATAATAATAATGATCACTTAGCATACTATTCAACTTAATAACAGCATTCTGTGTTAGGCAATATCTAAAATATGCTTCTAGATATTTGAGAATACTACCAAATTACTGGAAAAATTTACATGATTCAACCTTATGTCTTCTTCCACTAAATTACCTAGAGAAACATTTTGTTTTTCTTATCAGACAAAAGAAAATTTCATGTTGGTCAGTGTCAAAATGATATTCATTCCCTTCAATTGAGTGAGTCTACTAGTAATTTTGCATTGCTAAGTGTAAAGCTACAGTTCTAGGCTCAAAAACAACTAGGAAGTAGAGAAACATGAATGAATGGATAAGACCCGCAGGCAGAGTATCAATGTACAAAATCCCCTCCAAACTCCGTCGAGGTTGTATGCACATACACACAAACACACACACATGCACACACATTCATGCACATGCACAGATCTGTTGTCTATTACCTGAACTCTGAAACTATGCCTGTATTATTTGGTAGTGATCCAATGCATTAGAAACCTTAGTCTATTAAATGAATTTATAATTGAATAAAAAAATAAATAGATAAAATCTAACATCATTGCAAAAATGTATTCAGTCTGCAGCTAAAACCTCGAGAGATTTCTGAAAAATGGAATATAGATTAAACAATGTGAGGTAAAAGCTGTGGTTTGTGCAGAAAGTTTAAGACTACATGGGAAGGGGAAGAGATTCTGAATGGAACCAGAAAATACCTCTTTGTTCATAGAGGCACTTTGGAGGGAACAGTGAAGCATAAGACCAACAGCAGCTTTAGATATCTACACCAATTATTCCAAGGCTAACTCTACTTAACATGAAACCCCACATAGGACTTCATAGTTTATCATTAATTGAGGCATTCTCATTTATGTACATTATGTCCAAAAACTTCCACTTAAGAGAGCCCCAAACACAGATGATAAGGAACACACCAAGCAGAAAAAATCAGAATGAAGAAAAGGGTATGCTGTTAATATAGATGATTCTACATGATGCTATAACCCTACATGATGTCATAAATTTTTTAAGCTTTTGAGAAACACAGATGTTTAAAATTCTAGGGCTTTTGAAAACATAAGTGAAGAACTTGCTTAACTGAAAGTACAAAAGTTGGAAACAACAAGTTGTTACTTGGCTCCTACTAGTAGAGATCTTTTTAAGAACAGAGCTAACCCCAAATGCAGAAAGATGCATAGAAAGTAGAACTGTTATCTATTGTGTTATTCCTATATCCTGTATGCCAGTTACCTAAAGCATAGTAAGTGTGGAGGGTATGGAGTGGAGTTTGGTGGGGTATGACACAATTAAGACTTCACAGGGGCTGTAAAAATGAATATTAATGCAAAGAACACTATACAGTGAGTACCCATGAGGCTACCCTGTACCTCTCCCAACTCCATACCTCTCCCCTTCCACAAACATTCAGTCACAGTGAACAGAGTTTTCTGTTTCTCTCCTTTCTCTCCCTCTATAGACTGAAAGGTCCCTCTGCTCCATTGTGAATTTGTGCTCCTAGACTATTTTAAACAAGGAAATTTTCCAGGCTTCTTCCTAAAACTGCTCCAACTGGCAACCGAGGTGTCAGCTCAGGGAATGTCTCTGATGGACTGAAATGTGATACAGTAGGGTTAGGTCTGGGTTCCACGCAAATGGTTTCCTTCCAGAGAAGAAACCAGAGGGGCTAGGGTACTGGCCAGATCACTCTCCTTGCACAATTCTCATCACCACTCCACTCAAAACAGCCGCCTCTGAGGAGAGGAGGAGGACTATGAAGACAGCTCTGATCCTGAGGCCCCTCACCCTCACCACTGTGATGAGCCCCTGTGGAGGTGAAGACATTGTGAGTGAGTGCACAGTTGAGGAATGTGAACTTAGAACTGTGAATAAATTTGCTGACATGTAGTAGTCTATGAAACCAGTTACCCTCAGTCTAACTGTTACACTTATTTTGCCTCCAAGAAACCAAAATCCCAGCCTAAAATCTAAACTTAGTAGACAAAACTGAATTCCATAATGTCTGCCTGTCAATGAAGTGTTAGCCAAGGGCATTATTTTCTTTCTAATGTCAGAGCCAAAAGATGTTTCTCTAAATATACTGCTTTCCTTTAGCAATAATTTATGCTTAGAAATTTCCTCAGTAAATACCCAATTCCTCAGTAATCCTGAGCAGAATATTGGTAGAAACATGGGCAATAAAGGCCATTCTGATGAGGTCTTGGGTGGAAATAAGAAGCACATTATTGGAAACTGGAGAAAAGGTGACCCTCGTGATAAAGTGGCAAAGAATTTGGCTGAACTATGTTTGTAGCCTAGTGTTTTGTGGAAGGTAAAACATGTGAGTAATGAAATTGGGTATTTGGCTGAGGAAATTTCTAAGCACAGTGTTGAAGATGAAGCTTGGTTTCTCTTGACTGTTTATAAAACATTGTGGGAGCCAGGCTTGGTGGCTCAGCCTGTAATCCCACGCTTTGGGAGGCTGAGGTGAGTGGATTGCCTGAGCCCACGGGTTCAAGACCCACCTGGGCAACTTGATGAGACCTCATCTCTACAATAAATCAAAAAAAATTAACCGGGCATGGTAGCACATGCCTATAGTTTCAGATACTTGGAAGGCTGAGGCGAAAGTATCGCCAGAGCCCAGCAGGTTGAGGCTGCGGTGGCCGGGAGCGGCCACTGCACTCTAGTCTGAGCGATGGAGTGAGACTCAAATTCAAAAAATAAAATAAAATAAAAATAAAACATTGTGGGAAGAAATAACTTAAAATGAAGATGTTAATCAAAAAAGCAGAACTTTAAATTTTGGAAAAATTTTCAGCCTATCCATACTGTAAAAAATTTGTTGATGGACCGCATGGTTGGTTCCAGGTTCTCGCTATTGTGAACAATGCTGCAATAAACATTCGTGTGCAGAGGACTGGATTAAAAAAATGTGGTACAAGCCGGGCTCAGTGGCTCAGCCTGTTATCCCACGCCTTGGGAGGCTGAGGTGAGTGGATTGCCTGGGCCTGCGGATTCAAGACCCGCCTGGGCAACTTGGCGAGACCTCATCTCTGCAATAAATCAAAAATTAGCCAGGCATGGTAGCATGCTCCTGTAGTTCCAGCTACTTGGAAGGCTGAGGCGGAAGGATACCGGAGCCCAGTAGGTGGAGGCTGCAGTGGCCGGGAGCGGCCACTGCACTCCAGTCTAGGCGACAGAGTGAGACTCCAACTCAAAAAAAAAAAAAGTTGTACATATACACGATGGAATACTACGCAGCCATAAAAAAGAACAAAATCATGAATTTCGCAGCAACCTGGATGGAACTAGAGTCAATAATACTGAGTGACCTCTCACAGAAACAAAGATCTGAGTAGTACATGTTCTCACTCATATAGTGGACCTTGAACATCTACCATAATACTATAAAAAAAGTACTGACAGTGGTGGGAAACTATGGGAGTGTAGGGAGGGGAAGGGAGGTGAGACTAACAGTAGTCAATATCTGTCTGGGGATGGGGAGACACCCCTTATTAACAAGGGTGCCTGAACAATGCACATGTGTATACCTAACCCTTAACTGTACTCCACAATTTTATAATAAAAAATGTTTAAAAAAAATTTTTTTTTTTAATTGCTTGGGAAAGAACAAAAATGATTAAAAGACAATTTGGTAAGGAAATCAATATGGATCGCCCATCTCAACAGAAGCAAAATGCTATTTGTCAAAACAGTGGAGAGATTAGTCAGTCATCTCAACAGAAACCAGGACCTATTGTCCAAGACAATGGAAGAATGACTCAAAAGTTATTTTGGAGATCACTAGGGTTGCCATCCCCAACACAGTCCTGGAGTGCAAGAGCCCTCATGAGTGAGGGGTCACTGTTAGGACAATGTCCAGCAGAGTTGTGTTGTGGGGATGAGGCTTGAACTCATTACCCAGGCGCAAAGCCACCACAGAGATGAGGCCACCATAAAGAATTACCATAGCAATGGAGCCACCCAAAGCCATGGAGGTAGTGTCACCTGGAGACTTGGAGGCCCAACCTTTGACCCAGTGGGTCCAGAAGGTGGGATTCCCCCATCCTAATGGGCCTAAAGAGCAAAACGTCAAGTCATAGAAGATTGTTCTTTAACTGTAAGGTTTTGGACTTGCTGGAGACCTGTACTCTTTTCTTTTTTCCTATTTCTCCATCTTGGAATGAATTTCTATCCTAGACCTGTCCCATGTTTGATTTTGCAGATTCACAGCTGGAGAGCAATTTGCCTCAGAATGAATTGTACCTTGTCTTACACATATCTGATTTAAATGATATTTAGATGAGACTTGAGACTTTAGACTTCTAAGTTGATGTTGGAACAAGTTAGGAATTTGGGGGCTGTTGGAATGGAATAAATGTATTTTACAAGCAAGAAGAACATAATTTAGGGAGACCAGAAAAAGAATGCCATGGATGGTTTATGACATTCTGTTACAGTCCCCAAACAGACTAAGACAATACAATATTTGAAGCACAGTCTCTTATGCTTTCTTATTTAATGAAGTTTTTTCTCCCCTGTATATCCTACCTGCCTACCCTTATCTTTCTACTCTAAAATGATCACTCATCAGCTGACCATGTGGGCACTTATGGCACAAATATCTACCAGACATATGGCACCTTTGATCAATTTACATATGAATTTGATGGAAATTAACTGTTCTACATGAACCTGGAAAAAGGGAGACAGTGTGGAGGATGCTTGAGTTTACTGATTTTACCTGGTTTGAATTACAGAATGCCCTGAGAAGCACTGTTGTGGCAAAAAGAAACTTGGACATCTTGATTTTAAAAATTCCAACTTAACACCTGTCATAAATAAGTGTCCATAGTTCTAATCATCTTCCCTGCATCTACCTCACATTCCAGGTTTCCTCTCTTTCTTCTCCAGAGATAGCTACTCTTCCCATCACTCTATATATTCTTCCCCCTTTCTAGTACATTTCTTGGCTAAGACACAAACCACTATGTATCCATTTAATCATAAATTTTCTTCCCCTAGGATCCATGAGACACTCCTTTATTTAAGGATGTTTCCAACCTCTTGAACTAAGTAGAGCACAAACGCACTTACACTCTCACACATATGCATGAACGTGCACACAAACACACTATGCCCTGTGGGTTCCCAAAGACAGGAAATTATTTTGTTTCATAGTAATAAAATGGAACCTGTATCTGGTGTAAAATACATCTGAAAGGACAGGAAATAATAGCTAGAGAATTGCAAACGGGAGGGCTCCCCCAGAATAATTAACAAACTCAAGGCATCGTTATCATAAATTCAAATAAGTGCATTATCTTCACTATAGAAATTCCTAAAGTGGCTGTGTTTCCCAAATCTTGTGATCCTGGGTGTTCCCAATACCCTCATCTGTCTAGTGGACAACATTTTTCCTCCTGTGAAGAATATCATTTGGTTTTACAATGGACGCCTAGTTGCAGAAGGGATTGCTAAGACAACCTTCTACCCCAAGAGTGACCACTGCTTCCTCAAGCTCAGTTACCTCACTTTTCTGTCCTCCACTGAGGATTTCTACGACTGCAAGATGGAGCACTGGGGCCTGAAAGAGCCCTCCTCAAACACTGGGGTATGTTTAAAACCTGTCATTATTTGTCCCAAGTCCACATTGTCTTGCTTTATACCCTTTAACCCTCTTTTCCACAACTTTGTTTTCTACAATTGCAAAGTTTTGTAATGATTGACTTCACCCTTCTCCCAAAGACTAGGTGCCGTGTGCATTTCAAATACACACATCATTCTCCCCATAGACACACAATGCCCTGTGACCTTATACATTTCTTTTTCTTAGAACCTGAGACTCCTGCTCCTCTGTCAGAGCTGATAGAGGCTGCAATCTGCACCCTTGGGTTGGCTGTTGGCCTTATGGTCATTGTTATGGACACCATCCTCATCTGAGGCCTGTGCTCAGGTGGTGCTTCTAGCCATCAAAGGGCCACATGAGCTTTAGCCTAGAAAACAGGAAGGTATCACACTGAGATACCACCTAACTCCAGTCAGAATGGCAATTATCAATAACTCAAAAAATAACAGTTGCTGGAGAGAGTGTGGTGAAAAGGGAATACTTCTACACTGTTGGTGGGAGTGCAAACTAGTGCAACCTCTATGGAAAACAGTGTGGCGATTCCTAAAAGCTCTAAATATCGACCTCCCATATGACCCCACAATCCCCCTACTGGGAATATATCCTGAAGAACTCAAATCACTCTATCAAAAATATACCTACACACGTATGTTTATCGCAGCATTGTTCACAATAGCAAGAACCTGGAAGCAACCATGCTGCCCATCAAAAGAGGACTGGATTTAAAAAATGTGGTACATATACACGATAGAATACTACACAGCCATAAAAAGAACAAAATCATGAACTCCTCAGCAACCTGGATGGAACTAGAGTCAATAATACTGAGTGACCTCTCACAGAAACAAAGATCTGAGTATCACATGTTCTCACTCATATAGTGGACCTTGAACATCCAACGTAATACTATAAGAAAAGGACTGACAGCGGTGGGAAACTATGGTGGGAGGAGGGGAAGGGAGATGGGATTAACGGTAGTCAATATCTGTCTGGGGACAGGGAGACACCTCTTATCAACAAGGGAGCCTGAACGAAGCATATTTGTATACCTAACCCTTAACTGTACCCCACAATATCAAAATAAAAAATATTGATATATAAAATAAATAAGTAAAAATAAATTTTAAAAATCGGTTATTCAAAAACCATGTATTATTTACCTTTTTACATTCATTCTTTGTTGATTGAAACTGTCTTTTAAATTATGAGTTTAGTGCTATTTCAGAATAGCTATTCTGTTTTATTTATTTATTTTATTTATTTATTTTTTAATTTTAAAGATGTGGAGTACAATTCAGGGTTAGGTATAAAAATGTTCATTATGCAGGTACCCTTGTATCCTGTTTTATTAATATACTTTATATCAATACCACTTTGTTTTATTATTATAGTTTTAGAATGCTTAATGTCTTTGTTTTTAGAATTATCTTACCTGCTTAATTTTTCAGATGAATTTTAGAATTATTTTGCAAAGTCCTGAACAAATTGTATTGGGGTTTTGATTGGAATTGTATAAGTCTATAAATAAATTAGACAAAATTTCTCATCTTTACAAAAAAAGAAAAGAAAACAGGAAGGTAAGGACTCAAACATAGTATGCCTGGAACAATGTTACTGGAGGGAGTAAAGCTACGAATTAAGACTTAGCATCCTGTATATCCAAATGTGTTTGAAAAAAATGTGGGCAAATTAAAGACTGGGCTGACCTTGAGACAGGAACGTGGAGCCCATCAACCTCATACTGTTTGCTGTTTCAGGTCATGGATCTTTACAAGAAAGAAGGTAAATTGTTCCCAGACTCCAGTTCTTTGTCAAAGCCTTGAGGTACGACTTAGACCCATTCTCTGTTCCAGTTCATCATATTTCTCCTTCCTCGCCCTTCTCCCCTCCCTGCTCGAGAAGAATGTATGGAGAATTTTCCCTTCCGAGATCACTTAGTAAAAAAGGATCTTACAAACTCTTTCAACTTAGTCTTCTATTCATTGTCTGTCTCTCACAAAGATACCTGGACCATCCCACTCAACTACATTCCTAGTTCTTAGTCACCCTAATGCAGTATCTATGCAGAAAAAAATATTTTTTATCCTGTGGTGTCTTTGTTTTATTTTTTTGGTTGTTTTGGGTTTGTTGTTGTTGTTGTTGTTTTTGAGTTGGAGTCTCACTCTGTCATCCAGACTGGAGTGCAGTGGCCGCTCCCGGCCACTGCAGCCTCAACCTGCTGGGGCTCCAGTGATCCTTCCGCCTCAGCCTTCCAAGTAGGTGTCTTTGTTTTAGACTGTTCTTTTTTTCTATCTTTTTGCTAGGGCTAATTGAGGTTATACAAAAGAATGTATTACCTTATGTTGGAATTCTAGCTGATATCATAGTACCTTAACATCTTTCTTAAGTTATATTAGTAGTACACAGCCAAAGTATCAAAATGATAGTATAACATAAAATCATGTTTTTTCCTGTACTTCCTCTTTACTTGCTCTCCTTCTTTTGAACTGTGCACTGCTTTGGAGAGGACTTATGTGGCAAAGCCTCAAAAGGAACATCACCAAAAATAGACAGGAAAATTTTGCAAAGGAAAATCAAAAATGAGGGAGGACATTCTTGAGTATTTTATAAAATTATAATACTAAAAAGTATGGTATTGACACAGAAGTAAAAAAAAAAAACCCAAAAGAGGGAATTATTCCAGAAATAGGCGAATCCCTGAATTAGAGATCATAATGTAATTAATCAACAGATATTTATTAAGCATCTACTGTATACCAGACACTGTTCTAGATACTTGGAATATATTGTTATGCAAGATAGACCAGGTCCTTCTTTTGATTTTATATTCTAGATAAATAGATGCATAAATGATAATGACAGGCAATGATTATAGATCAATAGATTGACAGATAGTAAGCAGAAAAATAATAGATCATACATTTACATTATGAGCAAATAAGTGAGCAAGAAAATGTCCAAATATAACTCATTGAATTGATTCATTGGATTAACTGACATACTCAATTTCTTCAGTAAACAAGCTGATACCTATGACACACCAAAGCTCGTAGCTGTTTTTGACCTTTCTGTATATTTCTGCTCCCACCAGCTGAGTTTTTATGCTTACCAAAAGTCTCTGGCATTTACTCACAAACCTGTGTATCTCTGCTGAATTTTTATTGTAATTACATACCTAAACTAAATATTTTATTGTGAATTAAGTATACATCTTAAAGGGAAATTTTTTATTCTAAAACAAATTAAATGCTTTGAAAATAATTGATAAAGATAAGTTGCCTAATAAAATGTTGTCAAGTTGGATGTGGGTAAATTAACTTTTTAAAATGGAAAAAATGGGGGGGAACCTAAAAGTCTTCTGAATTCAGAATTCTTTGTAGCGTCTCCTCTAAATTCTCACTTGATTTTTAAAAACTAAAATTTGAAATTATAGAACATTTTGTAGGATGTTGTTTAGATATTTAAGATAATCTAAAATTCTAACCAAAAAACACATTCTCTAAGTAAAAACCTTGATTCTATGTCAAAATATTACCAAACAAATGTATGTTTATACATATATTATGTGATCAATATATGTGTATTTATGTTAAAAATAAATTGTTTACAGTGTGTATATATTTACCATTTTTTTTATTTTCTCAACCGCAACTAATTTTTTTAAATAATTGTCCAACCGCTAGGTCTTATAGTTGAATAATATGACTTCTACAGTTGCAATGACTACTATGAAGAAAATTAAAATGTGATAAAGCATGGACTTTAAATTTAATCACCAAGAAAATCTTCTCTTAGGTGATGTTTAACCTGAAATATAAATTACAGGAAAGAGCTAGAAATGGAACAATGTACACATAACAATTAGGAGAAGAAATGTTCTAAGCAGAAGAAGCAGTAACTAACAACCTAAGGTAGACCAAACTTGAAATGCTGGAAAAACAGTAATGAATCCAATGGCAGAGATGGCTAGATTTTCACCAAAATTTGTGCTCCTCCTGCTGCTGCTTACAGGTATTGCTTAGAAATGACTGCCCAAGTTATGATTTTCAAACTGCATTTTTAATGTAAGTGGAGTCATGTGACTAGTTCTTTTTTTAATTTATTTATTTATTATAAGGATGTGGGGTACAATTCAGATATGCATACAAACATTGATCATGCAGGTATCCTTGTTAAAGAAGTATGCCCCTCCCTCACCTAGCAGTTTCCACCAACTCCAGTCCCACCTCCCTTCTTCCCCTGACAGTTTTCCACTACTGCCAATCGCTTTCACATAGCATTATAATTGTTCAAGGTCACCTTATGAGTGAGAACATATGGAACTCAGTTCTTTGTTTCTGTGATAAATTACTGAGTATGATCGACTCCAAATCCATCCAATTTGCTGCAAAGTCCATATATTTGTCCTTCTTTCTGGCTGCATAATATTCCATTGTGTATATGTACCACATTTTTTTTCCAGTTCAGCTTCGATGGGCAACACGGTTGGTTCCATGTTTTTGCTATTGTGAATAGAGCTGCTACAAACATACGTGTGCAGGTATCTTTTTTGTAGAATGACTTGAGTTCCTCCGGGTATATTCCCAATAGGGGAATTGCTGGGTCATATGGAAGGTCAATTTCTAGTTCCTTCAGAAATCACCACACTGTCTTCCAAAGAAGTTGTACTAGTCTGCATTCCCACCAGAAGTGTAAAAGTTTTCCTTTTTCTCCGCAACCTCACCAACATTTGTTGTTGTTGGTTTTATTAATGATGGCCATTCTTACAGGGGGTAGGTGGTATCTCAAAGTGGTTTTGATTTGCATTTCTCTGATGATGAGTGAGGCTGAGCACTTTTTCATGTGTCTGTTGGCTGCCCGTATATCTTCTTTTGAAAAGTGTCTATTCATGTCTTTTGCCCACTTTTTAAAGAGGCTGTTTGTTTTTTTCCTTTTGGCACATTTGAGTTCCTTGTAGATCCTAGATGTTAGGCCTTTGTCAGATATACAGTTGGCAAATATTTTTTCCCAGTCTGTGGGCTGTCTCCCTGCTCTCTTGATGGTTTCTTTGGCTTTACAGAAGCTTGTCAGTTTAATGAGGTCCCACTTGTCCATCTTTTCTCTTATGGCCTGGGCACTTCAGGTTTTGAACAGGAATCAGTTGTCAGTTCCAACTTCCATAAGAGTGTTTCCTGCATTTTCTAAGGTTCTTACAGTTTGAAGTTTTATATTTAGGTCTTTGATCCGTTTAGAGTTAATTTTTGTGTCTGGTAATAGGTAGGGGTCCTGTTTCAATCTTCTGCATGTGTTCAGCCAGTTTTCCCAGCACCATTTACTGAATAGGTTCTCCTCTCCCCAGTGGTTGTTATTGGAGGCTTTATCAAAGATGAGTTGGTTGAGGAATTGAGGCTTTACTCCCGGAATCTCTATCCTGTTTCATTGGTCTGTGTACCTGTTTTTGTATCAATACCAGGCTGTGTTGATTACTGTAGCCTTATAGTAAATTTTGAAGTCTGGAAGTGTGATACCTCCTGCTTTGTTTCTTTTGCTAAGGATTGTTTTGGCTATTCGTGGTCATTTATGTCTCCATATAAATTTCTGTATTGTCATTTCCAGGTCTGAGAAGAATGATGCTGGTAACTTAATGGGTATTGCATTGAATCTGTAGATTTCCTTTGGTCGGATGGACATCTTAACAATGTTGATTCTTCCTATCCATGAGCATGGGATATTTTTACATTTGTTTGTGTCTTCTTGGATTTCTTTGAGCAGTATTTTGTAGTTCTCATTGCAGAGGTCTTTCACTTCTCTGGTTAGGAAGATGCTGAGGTATTTCGTTTTTTTGGTGGCTATTGTGAATGAAATTGTGCTTTTTATTTGGGTCTCTGCCTGCTTGTTGTTGGTGTAGAGAAATGCAACTGTCTTTTGCACGTTTATTTTATAATCTGAGACCTTCCCAAAGTCCTTTATCAGTGCAAGTAGGGTTTTGACAGATTTTTTTGGAATTTCAAGGTATAGGATCATATCATCAGCGAAGAGGGATAATTTGACTTCCTCTTTTCCTATTTGGATAACCCTGATTTCCTTCTCTTGTCTAATTGCCTAAGCTAGGACTTCCAACACAATATTGAACAAGAGGGGTGAGAGTGGACAACCTTGTCTTGTTCCAGTTTTCAGGGGAAATGATGCTAGTTTCTGACCATTTAGCAATATGCTAGCTGTGGGTTGTCATAGATGGCACTTACTATTTTGAGGTATGTTCTTTCTATCCCTAGATGTTTGAGGGTTTTTATCAAGAAGCAATGCTGGATTTTATCAAAAGCTTTTTCTGCATCTAATGAGATAATCATGTGGTTCTTGCTTTTACATCTGTTGATGTATTTAATGACTTTGATGGTTTTGCGAATGTTGCACCAGCCCTGCATCCTGGGGATGAAGCCTACTTGGTCATGGTGGATGATATTTGAGATGTGTTTTTGGATCCAATTTGCTAGAATCTTGTTGAGGATCTTTACGTCTATGTTCATAAGGAATATTGGCCTGTAGTTCTCTTTCTTTGTTGAATCTTTACCCGGTTTGGGTATCAGTGTAATGTTAGCTTCATAAAATGATTTGGGAAGAATTCCATCTTTCTCAATTGCCTGGAATACTTTCAATAGGATTGGTATCAGCTCCTCCTTGTATGTTTTGTAGAATTCTGCTGGAAAGCCATCTGATCCGGGGCTTTTTTTTTTTTGTAGGTAGTTTTCGTATGACAGAGCCAATTTCCTGGGTTGTTATGGGCCTATTTAGTGTCTCAATGTCTTCTTGTTTTAACCTGGTGATGCAACTAGTTCTTAACATGAGATGTGTTGCTGCCAGACTAAGGAGTTAAGTAATGAATTACTTTCTCTGTCCTCTCTCTTTTGTCTTCCATCCTTAGAAGCAGAGGGCAAGGAGTCCATGTATAGGAGTGGAACCACAACATGGAAGGCACCTGGGTCCCTGAATCACATATAAAAGAAAATGTCTAGAAAATCAGCAATATGGAAATGGACTGTTATGCAAACAAAGAAGAAAACATCTATTCAGTTGATCCATTGAAATTTTTCTGTGTTTTTTTTGTAGCAGCTGGTATTACCCAAACTAATAAAATGGGTCAGTGGAAACATAGACAATGAACTCAGTAGTATGGGCAAAGACCAGATCACAAAGGATCTTGTTAGCCAGGTAAGGAATCTAGATTTCATTCTAAGTGCTGCAGGAAAATATTTAAGGTATTTAATCATGATATAGTTTAGGTTTAAAAACATTCTGACAGTTATGTGGGAAATGAACTGTAGGAGTTAAGAAGGAAGTAGGGAGATGAGGTGGGAGTCAATTTCAATAATTTGGAGGAAAAAATGGTGGTTTCTTAAACTTGAGTGGCTATAAAGGACATAGAGAAAATTGACTAACTTGAAAGACATTTTACTATTCAACTGATAGAATTTACTGATTAGTTGGATGTGAAAGGTGATAAAATATACCAAATCATGACAATTCCTCTAACCCCTGAAGCCCTTTAATTATTTCTTCTATTAAACAAAACCAGTGATATAAACTACAAAGTATAGAAGACGCTAAAGGCAAGAAAGCACACATTTGGAGTCTTAGTTAGAAATTAATATTTCACAACTTATACAATTTGATTACTTAAACCTTAAAGAGTGGCAGGATTCCAGAAGCTGATCTACTATTGACTCTTTCCTAGAAAATCTTGAATAACAGAGCATTCTGGGGATCTATACCTGAAAACATTTATAACCAAATAGACTTACATGGAAATGGCAAATCTCAAGTGATATTGACACCTGCCTTAACTTTGGCAATTATGTTTTCTTCAAAGACCCTCTCCAAAGTAGACAGTAGTAGCAGATATACATTGGAGATAAGTACACGAAGCATGCCCTATTACATAACTCCAGCAGCTATTCCATCTGTGTTCCAGTGACCTCCCTCTTTCTCCATCTGATAAGATATTATTACATCCCCATAAATACAGCAGCGGACAACAGATTTCACCTAGCCTATCAGATACCTCATCACACTGAGCAGAGGTGATCCCTGATTATAGTTGCACTGTGGTTGTGCTATTATTTCTTCCTATGTTAAAGGTAGATAAGTCTATCATTTCATCATAGTTTGTAGGGCAAATAAGAGCCATGTTCAAGGCAAATAAAGAGAAATTCATATCATAGAGATTCTTGACTTGGAGGTTGATATGATTTGGGATTTTTTCCTTTTTGAATGAGATAAATTCAATTTTATAAGAACTACATAAATTATACTTAAAGAGAGCATCTTCTAATGGAAAAAAGAGACAGAAGCAGAGAGAGGGCAGAGTTCGTGTATCAGAGCCTTGTATAATGGATTATAATCGTTATTATTTTTATTATTATTATTACCATTACTATTATTATCTATCCAGCCTTGCTCCTTTTCTATCTTTGTTTCAGGAAAGAAAAAATCTGTATTCTTGACACAGTTGTGGATTTAAATTCAAAGCCTGGCTAATCAGAATCCTACATCCCATGGCTAAGGTGATTGGTAGAGAAATTGGAGTGCCACTCAAGCTAAGCTTTCTCCAGATTGTTAAATTAAAGCTGGCATATGTGTGCTCTTGCTATTCAGGTGATGGGCTAAAAATATGAGATGTCCATCTTCATAGCCATGTGGAAAATGTTTGATTTCTGAAGGAGAAAATAAGAAGAACTAACAGAGAAAAGCAGAACTCAAAGAGAATACATAGAGAGAGCACAAATGAGAAAGAGAAAGAAACACATATACACAAAAAGAAACAGAGCCTGAGAAATAAATGACATAAAGAGAGAATATAGACAATGAAAATGACAATGGACAGATAGAATGACAGAAAAAATGGCAGTGAGGCACACAGGCCAATAGATTGAAAGGAAAAAAAAGGAGATGGACCGAGAGGCAGTTAATAAATAAAAGGGGTGTGTGTGTGTGTGTGTGTGTGTGTGTGTGTGTGTGTGTGTGTGGTGTGTAAGAGAGAGCCATAGAGAGAGAAGAGAAAGAAATGCATGGAGCAATGGATAAAAGGAAAAATGCAAATTGAAGACAAAAAGAAAAGCTATCTAGTATATTAGCAAAGACAAGAGGGTGTTCCTTTAGACAGAGACAGAGATGTGGAGAGAAAGATAGACACAAACAGAGAGAGAAACATAGCATAGAAAGAAACGTACACTGAGTGAAGGGAGTAAAGACAGAAAGAGGAGAGAAGAGAGAAGAGTCAGAGAAAGGGGAGGGAGCTACGAGAGAAGAGAGAAAAAGATCTCATTTGAGTCCAGGATCTAGGTATTTTTCAGAGTCCAGATTCACATATGAACTTTCCAATGCATGAATCCCCCAAAATTAATATTCTCTTAAGGTGGTATTAGTAGAGTTTGTTATATGTGACCAAAATACTACTTTCTAATAAAACTTCCATTGGTAATTACACAATAGAGTAGGTTCGATGCAATCAGCAATCATTGTCTTCTACCCCAGAGTACACAGTGCACTTGCCAGGAGATATTTGCATTATCATTCAGTTAAGTTACAGCATTAAGCATTAGGTTCCATGACTGGCACAAAACAACTCTATTTGCAAAATAAGTAAAACATCACACCAACAGAAGCCAGGAAAGACTACTGCACAAAATTCCAGTTTCCAAGCCCCACTAATGATGGAAAACAGAGTTTACTCCATACCTCATTTCATATTTTTATGTAGCACCTAAATTAGGCCAAGTATGGGGACTTGTGATTTTCTGGTCTCCTTGCCCAGACTTCTCCGGCATATTTGAAATAAAGTTCTAGAATCTAACCCTTTGTTTTCTCTGTATTCCCCACCACCACCACTCCCATACTCAATCAGAATCAGAAACACAAGTGACTCACAAGTCTATTTAATTTGGGGGGGAGATTATTGAAAGATAAAGGAGTTCTACATCTGATTCACAGGCAGTCTTCAGAAAGAGAACAAGATCATAAATGCTTATTGAAAGCATTTATGATCCAAACAGACATAGCAGGCAGAGCTTCTATCATCCTGGTGGAGAGCAGAGCCCCAGGCACAAATTCAGGAAAGACAAGAATAAGAGAAGACCCACAACAGCTTCTCAGTCACTGTGGGTGTCAGATCCTGATGGGTGACAGAGCTGGCAGAAACGGCTTGCTCACAGGACTTGTAGAAAGAAGTCTGAGAACTAAAGACAAGGGCAAAGCCAACACAAGACCGAGACGAAGAGGTAGCAGATCCCAGGAAGAAAATATCAGTGCATGAGCCCTGTAGGAGAAAGAAGAAACAGTCAGTCACATCAACCCCTGAAGAAAACACAGCCCTTTCCTCCCTGGGACCTCTCTGCAGTTGTCGTCTGGACACTAAGTTTAGTCTTGTGTCAACACTGCTTCTCATTACCTTGCCCAGCATCTGAGTAGATGTGATTATAGGCATACCTCATTTTACTGTACTTTATTGTGCTTCTTAGATATTGCGTTTTTTATAAATTGAAGGTTTGTGGCAACCCTGCATTTAGCAAATTTATTGACATCATTTTTCTAACAGCATGCACTCATTTTATGTCTCTGTGTCACATATTGGTAATTCTCACATTGTTTCAAACTTTTTCATTACTATTTTATCCGTTTTGGTGACTTATAATCAGTGATTTTTGATGTTACTACTGAACTTGTTTTGGGGCACAATGAACTGTGCCCACATAAGACTGCAAACTTAATTGATAAATGTGTATGCTCTGACTGCTCCATCAATTAGCCATTCCTTTATCTCCTTCTCCTTGGGGCTCCCTATTCCTTGAAACACAACAGTCTTGAAATTAGGCCAGTTAATAATGCTACAATAACCTCTAAGTGTTCAAGTGAAAGGAAGAGTTGCACGTCTCTCACTTCAAATCAAAAGCTAGAAACAAGGCTTAGCGAGGAAGAACTGTCAAATGTCAAACAGGCCAAAAGCTAGGCCTCTTTTGCCAGTCATCCAAGTTGTGAATGCAAAGGAAAAGTTATTGAAGGAAATTAAAAGTCCTACTCCAATTAACACACAAATGATAAGAAAGCAAAACAGGCAGCCATTGGAGAGCAGCAGCCATGGCCCTGCGCTACTCCATGGCTGTGGGCCTCAACAAGGGCCACAAGGTGACCAAGAACGTGAACAAGTTGAGGCTTAGCCGCTGCCGCAGGCGCCTGACCAAACACACCAAGTTCATGTGGGACATGATCCAAGAGGTGTGCGGCTTCGCCCCCACAAGTGGTGCGCCATGGACCTGCTCAAGGTCTCCAAGGACAAGTGGGTGCTCAAGTTCATCAAGAAACGGGTGGGGACACACATCCCCGCCAAGAGGAAGCGCGAGGAGCTTAGCAACATCCTGGCCACCATGAGGAAGGCAACGGCCAAGAAGAACTAAGCCTCCCAGCCCCCAATAAAGCCTTTGTAGAAGAAAAAGAAAAGAAAAAAAAGTAAAACAGCCTTATTGCTGAAGCGGAGAAAGTTTTAGTGGTCAGGATAGAAGAACAAACCAGCTACAACCTTCCCTTAAGATAAAGTCTACTCCAGAGCAAGGCCCTACCTCTCTTCAATTTTATGAAGGCTGAGAGAGGTGAGGAAGCTGCAGAAGAAAAAGTTTGAAGCTAACACAGGTTGATTCGTGAGGTTTGAGGAAAGAAGCCATCTCCCTAACATAAAGTACAAGGTGAAGCAGCAAGCGCTGATTTAGAAGCTGAAGCAAGTGATTCAGAAGATCAGGCTAAGGTAACTGATGAAGGTGGCTACACTAAACAACAGATTTTAAGTGTAGACAAAACAGCCTTCTTTTAGAAGATAGACTTTCATAGTTAGAAAGGAGAAGTCAATACCTGGCTCCAAATCTTCAGGAATCAGGTTGACTCTCTAGTTAGGGATGAATATACCTGGTGACTTTAAATCGAAGCCAATTCTCCTTTAACATTTCAAAAATTCTAGGACCTTTAAGAATTATGCTAAATCTACTCTGCCTGTGTTCTATAAATGGAAAACAAAGCCTGAATGACAGTACATGTGTTTACAACATGACAATATTTTAAGCCTACTGCTGAGAACTACTTCTCCAAAAAACAGATTTCTTCCAAATACTACTGCTCATTGACAATGCACCTAATCACCCAAGAGCTCTGATGGAGATTATGAGAAGAAAGGTTGCCTGATAACACAGCATTCATTTTGCAACCCATGGATCATGGAGTAAGTTCAACTCACAAGTCTTATTACTTAAGAAATGTGTTTCATAAGGCTATAGCTGCTATAGATAGTGATTCCTTTGATGGATCTGAGCAAGGTAAATTAAAAACATTCTGGGAAGGATTCACCATTCTAGATGTCATTAAGGACATTCATGCCCAGGCACCATGGCTCACGTGTGCACTCACGCTCTCCCCCCCCCCACTTTAACCCACATACAATAAGGCTTCAGCTACCATAAAGCTTTACCTCAAAGTCACTGAATCAATTGTTGATGGAAGATTATCAGAAACTGTATCTTTAAGGAAGGAAGCTCAGAACAGAAAGTCACATGTTAATCATTGCCTGGCAAAGGTAAGGATGGAATGAAAGCTGCTCTTCTCTGTATATCCAAGAATAATTCTCCACCACTTGCGTCTGTGGTGAAGCAAATTTGACCCAGGCCAAGGAGCTCTTGTAGTCTCCCTAATTTCTGCATTCTACTTCCATTCCCACCCCCTTTATTTTATAAGGTCAAATAGGAAAAGTTAAAATAAAAATTCTCAGTCCCAGCACCAGTCTCCCATTTTCTCCAAAGGTGTCTTACCTTTCTTATTCCAAAGGCAGATGACAAGACCCAAACCAAGAAAAATCAGCCCCAGCCCAAGGCCTCCAATTCCACTCAGCTTCTTGCTCTGGGCAGATTCAGACAGTACCCTGGGAAGTAAAAGCCTGGATGTCAGTGTCTGTCCTCACAGTGTCCTCATCTGGAAGCCTAGAGTTAAATTTAATGTATCAGAGATAGAGGGGCTCTGTCACCAAGCAGAGGAGGTGAAAGGCATGCAAAGACCCTAAAGGGTTCAGATGAGGAAGAAGAGAAGAAAAGGGCAGTACTCCTCAGAGGTATGTCCATCTATAACCCCACAAACCATCTCTAAGACCCCCCAGCCTTAAGGCCAAAGCCTAGAACTTCAAAAGGCCTCCAAGGCGGAACTGCAGCTTAGGAAGTCAGGTTATGTAAAGGGGCCACCATAATATGCTGGGAGAAAAGGAGATCATTACTCAATATGTCCCTTTTGTCTTGAGACAATGGGATCTCAGTCCTTCATGACTACATCAGGGTGCAGTTAAGTACCAGTAAAGATATGAAGACACTATGACACAACAGAGATAAGGAGGAACATCACCCCCACAAGACCCAGAGTCCTCCCTGCCTTTCCTTTTTTCTGTTGAATCTGTGGTGTTGATGAAGCGTTCCTTATGCCATTCTACTGTGATGGGGCCCTAGAGGCTGAGGTGCTCCACATGGCAAGTGCAGACATCTCCACGCTGGGCTATTATTTCTAGAATCACAGGAATCTGGTAGGTTCAGTCCCTACCTATTCTGAATAGAAGGTGTGGACACAACTCCAGCAGTCTTCTCCTGTTTATTCTGGAGCCATCTGACTTTAATTTGGTGAAAATAGAAATTTGTCACTTAGCAGACCAGCAAATCACAGTGGTTGAGGGCCACTGTCCTGGCTGAGGAGATGGTCACTGTGGTCCACTAGGAGGAATGGTGACAGAAAAAGAAACTTAGAGGGTATGACAGCAAAGAAATTATCAGCAGAGGCTTAAGTCCCTCCTTTGACACAAAAGTGGAGAAAATAACAGATTTAATTTGTCTTCTCCCAGAATTCCAGCTCTGGGATTTAATTTGCTAACTCATTAGCCTACTTTTCAAGAAAATAATACCTTTATTCAGTGGTTACTTATTTATTAAACCGGATCATTTACGTGAAAGCTCTTTGTAATATGAACTGATTGTTTTTAAATATGTATATGTGCATATATGTGCAGGTATATGTACTATCCTTCTCATGCATGGCAAAAGTAATAATTTAAAAGATCCTATGTGTTAGCTCTTACAAAACAAGGGTTTTCATGTTTAAATAAGTCTCTGGCTCCATCATTCACAGGTTGTAGGACTAAGAAACTTTGAAAATCAAAATGCTACTTAAATTGCAGTCAACATATAGCATCACTCAGTTTGTCATCTAGCCTTGGCTGACAAAACCATTTGCAGTTAAGTCCATTCAAAAAAAACACAATAAGGTAAATGATGAGCTAAGCTTTTAATATTGAAATTCTTGGAAGAGCCTATTGTTGGTAATTTTTTAAAGTTTTTCTTGTAAAATATATGTAACATAAAATTACCATTTTAGCCAGTTATGAGTGTACAATTCAGTGGAATTGGATGCATTCACATTGTTATGCAACCAGCACCACTATTCATCTGCAGAAATGTTTCATCATCCCAAAAAGAAACTCTGTGCCCATTAAACACTAACTCCCCATTGCCTGCCAGCCTAGCCTCTGGTAACTTCTAAGATACTTTCTTTATAGGAGAGCCCATTTTGACTTGTTTAAACATAGATCTTCATCATAAACCACCTATAAACCTACACAAAGTTAATATACAAGTAAAGTAAATATATTTTTAGATATAAGTAGAAAGTAAATTGGTTGAGATAATGCTTAAATGTCTTCACATTCACATTCTGACTCTTCTGAATGACATTTTGACAGAGGCCTCCATACAAACATTTTTCACAAAGTATCATCCTCTGGGCCATCAAGGCAGAGTGAGACTCCATTACCGACTCCCTGATTTTCTTCCAAGCTCCTGGCCTGATTTTGCAAGTTTTGATGCTGGAACTTTGGATGTTCAAGTATGCATACACAGTCAATGACAACCAGGCTATTACTGCTGCCTGACCTACAGCAATTGTAAGGTACCATCAATTAGAGATGTTAAAATGTGAAAAGATGCATTTTGAAAGAATGAATACGTTAAATAGAAATATAACGCATGGTGACGTTGCTAGATCATGTGCTATAGGCAACATTGCTGTAATGCATATGTGTAGAGTGTGATTGCACACAGCTGGGGACCAGCTCTAACTGCACTGGCTGACTCTGTGAAGCTCACAGAAGTATTGATCTTTAGGACAGGTCTAAAAGGGTGAGAGATTTTAATAGAAGAAGAGAGAGAGAACAGAGAGCATTTCAAACAGACGGGATCACTCCTACAAGAGTAAAGACAGGAGGCAAACAAAACTTAGATGTCACAGGGAACTACAGGAGTCAGTGGGACATGACAGAGACTGAGGGGTTGAGAAGATAGGCCTGTGCCAGAGGGGCAGTGCCCTGGTGACCTTGGAAGGACTGAAGTTCACAGCACTGAGGACAGCAGCCCCAAATGCTAGCTTTCAGTCTCCCTTTCTAAAAGCCCTCTCCCAACTCTGTCCAGTCAGACCTTCCAAACATTTTTTGCCTTGGAATTTGAGTGCCCTCCTAGTTCCATCAAGATCCTAGGAATCAAAAAACCAGCCGGGCTCGGTGGCTCAGCCTGTAATCCCGCGCCTTTGGGAGGCGGAGGTGAGTGGATTGCCTGAGCCCGTGGGTTCAAGACCCGCCTGGGCAGCGAGACCTGATCTCTACAATAAATCAAAAAATCAGCCGGGCGTGGTAGCACATGCCTGTAATTCCGGCTACTTGGAAGGCTGAGGAGGAAGGATCGCCAGAGTCCAGCAGGTCGAGGCTGCGGTGGCCGGGAGGGGCCCCTGTACTCCAGTCTGGGCGACAGAGTGAGACTCCAACTCAAAAAAAAACCACAAAAAAGCCTACCTGGGGCCATCCATTCTAGGGATGTGTGTGTGTGTGTGTGTGTGTGTGTGTGTGTGTGTCTTCTGTGTGTGTGTGTGTGTGTGTGTGTGTGTGTGTGTGTGTGTGTGTGTGTGTCTTCTAATGTTAATAAAAACAGATGACAGTTTTCATCTCTCTGCTCTAGGGAAAACACCTGTAAACACAGTTTTGGGTTATTTGTTCCTTTTTTGCAATATTTATTTTTTAATCAACACAATACACAATAACTACATATTTATGGGTTATGTATTTCAATTTATGTATGCAAAATGTAATGACCAAATGAGAATAATTAGCAAATATATCACCTCAAACATTTATCATTTTTTCCTGTAAGTAACATTCAAAGTCTTCTCGTCCAGCTATTTGAAAACATAGAACACCAAGACGCATTCCTTCTACCTAGCTGCCCTTTTACCCCCTTAACCTCTCTAGGTTTTGAGGAAAAGTACTCCTCAACAGGTCCTAATCTCACCTCTCCTCTGGGTTGTGAAGCCAGCCCTCTGGTTGTAGTTGTGTCTGCACAGTGTGTTCACCTGGGCCTGGTACTCTGCCAGAAAGTTCTTCTGGCTGTTCCAGCTGTTAGCGCTTCACCACTCTGGCTCTGCCCCAGCCACAACCACCACCACAACGTTGTCAAAGAGGACAATCTCCTCCTTGTTGTAGATTTGTCTGGCCGCCAGCGGCACCCACTCCCACCCATTGATGAAGTATCACATGCCCTTAGACTGATACATGAAGTCCTCTGCAGGAGAGCCAGCCGCTTAGATTCAGTTCAGCCTTGCCCCAGCCCACCAAGCTCAATGTGGGGAGGCTCAGGAAGTGGAGGAAAACATTAGAACACCCAAGTAGCTGAGAAAACCTCTCTTAACCCTATGAATTTTACTCCCAGGATAAATTTAGGTGATTTATCTGCCTCAAACTGAGTATCAAGACAGAAAAATCATCTAACAGCAGCTGATAACAAAGAAACAAAACTGTCAGTATTTGCATATAATAAATCTGTGAATAAAGAAAATCCAGGCTGGGTGCAGTGGCCTATAATCCCCAGCCCTTTGAGAGGTCCAGGCAAGAGTATTGCTTGAGCTCAGGAGTTCAAGACCAGCCTAGATAACATAGCAAGACCTCGTCTCTACAAAAAATTAAAAATTAGCTAGGCATGGTGGCACACTCCAGTAGTCTCAGCTATGCAGGAGGCTGAGGCGGAAGGATAGCTTGAGTCAAGGAGTTTGAGGCTGCGGTGAGCCGTAGTCACACCATTGCACTCCAGCCTAGGCAACAGAGTGAGACCCCAACTTTTCTTTTCAAAAAAGAAAAAAATAGGGCTCGGTGGCTCAGCCTGTAATCCCGCGCCTTTGGGAGGCGGAGGTGAGTGGATTGCCTGAGCCCACGGGTTCGAGACCCGCCTGGGCAGCGAGACCTCATCTCTACAATAAATCAAAAAATCAGCTGGGCGTGGTAGCGCATGCGTGTAATTCCAGCTACTGGGAAGGCTGAGGCGGAAGGATCGCCGGAGCCCAGCAGGTGGAGGTTGCG